TCATTTGGTTTGCTGTGAACTAAAGTAGGGCTTGTATGTGTTTCCTTTTGAACTGTTGTTATAGTTTAAGTTGAGAGTAAATTTTTCTTTTAACTTTTTTTTCTGGTGGTTTTATAAATAAAATAATTTTTAGTTATCCCAAAGAAAAATCCCTGACTGGTAAATTACACCTGATGACTTGATCATAGAACATCACCTTGGTATGTACTATATCCAAGTGAATTAGTTTGCACCATAGAATGGGTGCCTAACCCCTTCCTGCTTGTATGATTTTGCCTGGGATTTTTAGTTGAAGATTTATGCATGTTTTCAGTTTTTAATCCCACCTTTAATGTATCATTTGCAACTCCAAAACATAAAATGAAATTTTTTGGATATCCACAACCTCAAGTGTTGTTAAAATTCTGATGACGTTTCAACATTTGGTTGAAATTTTCATGGAATTAAAAAGTAAAACCACAAAAATGAATATCAATAATCTGCATAATATTATTTCTATTGAGTTTTAGTGAGCGAATGTGAATGGATTGCACTTAATTTTTGTTGCCACCATACTTTTTTTTTGATAAAGTTAGAATTTTATCCAAAAAAAAATGTGTTGCCACCATTGTATGCTTTTAAAAATGAGTACCAGTAATTGACAGCTGCTTAGAAATTCTGATTTTTTTTACTGAGATATGTGAATGGGGAATGCTTGTTTACTCCATTATACTTATTTACTCATTGTTGCCTGATTTGCTTTGACAGTTATCACTTTTTGAATTTTTGTTCTCTTATTCCAACATTACTGTGAATGTTTCTTTGATGTGATCCTAGACGACGTGGAACATTTGAGGGACCATTTCAATCCATCCAAGTCTTGGGCAGGGCAGTCCAATACATGATCAAGACAGTTTGGACTCTAAACCACATACACATGAAGGCCAACAAGAAAAACAAGGCTTGGACATGATTAAAGTTGGACTTGGGCCAAAATTTAAAGGCCTTGAAAGGAGAAAGCCGAGCCCATCAAGTCACGGGAAGAGATGGTCAAGAACTTGTCCTACAATGAGGGCAAAACCGATCCTTAAAGAGCCCTACACTTCAAGGACTCTTAGTGACTCATCCTTTAAGGAGTTTTATCCACCTCCAAATCTTCAAAACCAAGGCAAAGGAGTTCTCAAAATTATGGACAGTTTGGATTTGCACATGAGAAATTTTCTCCTAATTTTTCTCATCACAAGCAGCCAGCCCTTTCACAAGAAATTTTCTCCTTTTCCAACTCTTCACAACTGTCCTTTTAAGAGTCCTAATCGGTTTTCTTCTTCCTAAAATTATATTAAAAAGGTGTTGGAATCATATTTGACATGTGAAAGCTCAAAGGAGATAAGTTACACCTCATGGCCGATTCTCACAAGGAAAAAGAGTCATTTTTTTCATCAAACATGGATGGATTTTTTATCTTATCTCCATCACCAGCAATTATTGAAATAAAGAGGCAAAAACCAAGCAAACTACTCCAAGATAAGGCCAACCACAATCCTTGAAGAAATCAACAATTATCCAAGAGTGAAGAGTCTTAATTTATATTACTTTACAATCCTTTATTTTATTATTTTCTTTAAGAGTCTTAGATAAGAATTTGATATTTGTTTTCTAGATTTTAGACTTTGAGTTCTATTGTAATTCTCTAGACCTACCACTATAAATAGGCCTCACTATTTGGTTGTATTCATTCAAGTTCAAGTTTAATAAAAAAATTAAAACTTTTGCTTTGGTAAGCCATCATCTTCTGAGTGTTCTTTGGTGAGGTTTTCTTCAACTTTCTTGTTAGGTAAAAAATTGATTCTACTTGTCAAAGTAACTCTTGTGACGTTTTATCAATTTTTATTCTTTTTTTCAATTACCTTAGTTTTCAATCACAGGTTGATAGTGGGTCAAGTAAAGAAGATTTGTTGAGAGATTAAGTTTTTGTGCTAAATTGTATGTTAGAGTTTTTGATCATACTAGTTTATCCCGGGTTATACATCACTTGGTATCAAAGTTTAAACTTTAGATAGATGTTACTATTTTGTACAATCTATCCTTGCAAATTTGTTTCCTTCAGGTTATTTTCATCTCGCATGTACTTATATCCACTCATACATAACATAAAAATGAAAAAAAAAACAGAAGTATCATATCCATATTGTCATTCTTCCGTTTTAAGAGTCTTTCTTTCCACAATTTTGTGCCTTTACATCATTAGGTAATTAGTTTCATCCTAGTTACTTTACCTTGTACATAAATACACACCATCTTCATCTGTGTGTTTAAATTTTTGCTTCTAGAATTGTGTAGCAAATTTCTTTCCTAAGGATCCTTGTAGTATCTTAAGACAAAGCTTGAGTACCTTGATTCAAAAGTAGTCAATTCTGACACTCAACTTGGTGGAAGAAGATTGAGAGGTGAGTGAAACACGAGAGAAACTACGAGGGAGTGTTATTTTCTACTAAGCCTTTCTTGCAGGGATTTCATAATATCTTGACCAAGTGAAAATAGCAGTCCAGTCAACCTGAGGGAGTACATAGACACCATGTTTACACGATTCTGTTTGGTGATTGAAAATTTAGAAGAAAGGATAGATGGGATGCCCGCTCTGGACAAGGTGCCTACTCCCACGAGATGATGCTGAATCTTGTGATGAAAATGAAAGAGATGATGACTGAGATAACTGTAGGGAGGACAAGAGAGATAGCAACATCAGTTCTATCAAAATGCAGATTCCATCTTTTAAGGGATGGAATGATGCTAAAATCTATGTAGAGTGGGACCGAAATACAGAGCTCATCTTTGACTATGATAATTATGGTAAAGGAAAGAAAGTAAAGTTAGCCGCCGTAGAACTCACCGACTCTGCTCTAGTATGGTGGATCAACTGCTAACTAACAGAAGTTGCATTAGAGACTGACCTATCTCGACGTGGAGGGAGATGAAATCTGTAATGAGAAAAATGTTCTTACCTTCTTACTATCATAGAAAGATGCACCAAAAGTTGCAACGCCTGGAGGATTACTAGAAGGAGATGGAGATGACAATGATCAGGATCAACATAGATGAAGATCTCGAAACTAACATGATGAGGTTCTTAAGTGGTCTAAATCGAGAAATTGTCAACATAGTCGAGTTGTAGCACTATATGGAGTTGGAAGACATGGTGCACATGGGCATAAAAGTTAAGAAGCAGTTAAAACATAGAGGGACAGCAAAAGGATTTTCAAATTTCTTCCCTAAATAGCCAGGTAAAGATGAGGCATTTAAAGGCAAGAGGGTTAAAGTGAAGCAGGCCAACAGTAAAGGTAATTCTAAAACACCTCATTCTAATACAAAGCATAGCACTATCAAATACTCCAGGTGTTTGGGTTTCGGACACATTGCATCACAATGTCCTAACCAGAGAATCATGCTGCTAAAAGATAATGGTGACATTGAGAGTGTTAGTGAAGATGATAGTATGAATAGCATATTGGAGCATGTTGAAAAAGATGTTGAATACCCAGTTCAGGAGGAAGCTTTGGTTATTAGAAGAATACTGAATGCTCGAGTCAAGTAAGAAGATAGTAACTAAAGAAATAATATATTTCACACTCGTTGCTTCGTGAATGCGAAGATATTAATCTTATTTTAGATGGAGGAAACTGCACAAACATTGCCAGTACTACACTAGTTGATAAATTTGGATTGACTTGCACGAAATATCCTAACCCTTACAGATTACATTGGTTGAATGAATATGGGAAAGTAATGGTGACTAAGCAAGTACTAGTGTCTTTCTATATTGGCGATACACTAATGAAATCCGTTATGACGTTGTGCCTATACATGCCACTCACATCCTACTGGGAAGATCCTAGTAATATGACAAACGTGTAGTTCATGATGACTAGGAATCTCTATTCCTTTCGCATGAAAAGTTAGAATTTTATTCTTGTACTGCTATCACCTAAGGAAGTATTCGAAGATCAACATAAGATCAAGAATTCTCTTGAGGTGAAGTCAGGAGGAGAGGAGAAAAAGTGTTTATTAATTAACGTTAATCCTTCTTTATCCAGTGGTGTTGTTTCGCAGGAGTTCATGGATATTTTTCCAAAAAAAGGCTAGATTGATAAAGCCCTTACATAAGAAAAATTTCTAATTCGAGGACGAATCTTTTCAAAAAAAGGAAGAATGATGTGGTCCTATACGACATGGAACATTCAAGGGACCATTCCATCTATCCAAGTCTCGGGCAAGACTGTCTAATACATGTTCAAGACGGTTTGGGTTCTAACCACACACACATGAAGGCCAACAAGAAAATACGCTTGCATATGATTCGAGATGGACTTGGGCCATACTTTAAGACCTTGAAAGGAGAAGCCGATCCATCAAGCCAAAGAGAGACAGCTAAGACTTGTCCTACAATAAGGCA